AGCAGGGAGCCCGATGCGGGACTCGATCCCAGGACCCTGGGATCATGACCTGAGCTGAAGGCAGTCGCTTAACCAACTGAGCCACCCAGGCGCCCAGACAAAATCTTTAAAGTAAAATAAAATTGTGGTGATGGATGCACACTCTGTGAACATGCTGAACAATACTGAATTTACATTTAAATGGGTGAACTGTATGGTATGTGAATTATATTTCAATAAAGCTGTGAAAAAAAAGCATGTCAGAGAAAACAAAATTCCACCGACAATACAAAAACTTAACTTTAGCCAACAGACGTACAGAGACACAGGGAGAACAGCACCACAGGATCAATGCCCTTGGCTCCCTTCTGGAAACTACTCTTTCTGGAAAGTGAAGTGCCCTGCAATTTCAAAAAGCTGGGCAGGGGAGGCTGAAGGAACAGCCAGGGCCTGGTGGTCGGCTCGGAGCGCCCGGGCTCAAGGTCAGATGGCTGCTCAGACCCGCTCTGCCTGTCGAGGGCACCGTGGGCAAGCCCTTCCGGCGACCCCACCTGCTCACAGGGCTGCTGCAGGTTACATGAGAGAGCACATTCAGGCGTTTGGCCCAGCGTTCTAGAAACACCAGCATGGAACCAAGGGGCTCGTAGTGCCAAGTGGAACCTGGTCAGCTCTTCGCAGCTCAGGCACTGCTCCCTCCCATCCTGCTGCCAGGGCTGTGCCAACCGCCTCTGCTGTCGCCACCAGTCACCAAGCCCCTCCGGTCAGCACCCCAGGGCCCGGGCTGCAGTGCCCCAGGGCCGGGAGCGAGCAGGCCAACTCCAGGCTCTGTCCGAGAGGGTAGCAGGGGCTTCACTCCTCACTGCTGACGATCCGACCTAAGACATCCACGGCCTGGGTGTTTGTAAAATGCAGACTGCGTGAACTGTGCTAACCAATTTGTGTGTGTCGCCTCACAAACCCTTACAGAGAAGTAAACTGAAGTCTACGGAGGGACATAAGATTCTGTTTCCTCACGCAGCGGGCAAGTTCCCTGAGGGGGCCTCCTAGCACAGTGTGGCGCACAGAGAACTGCTCAGTGACCTTCTGGGCTTGACGGTGTGCTCTATCTGACAACGATTCAAATTCTATAGGTCTCCTATGATGGGTGGTTGGACTAGACGGCTTTCAAGTTTTAGGGAGTTTCAATAATCCTTGTGGGACAATCACCAAGGTGACTTCCCCTGCCTCCCTTGGAAGGAGCTAGAGAGATATTGGCCCCTTTACTTGTTTTTTAATGTATTATTCATCTGTCCAGGGCTCTGCGTCCCCTGAAGGTCATTCCTACACAAGCCCAAAAACAGACCTGCTTTAGGCACCACCACGCTCCATGGCTTTGTGGGGGAAGTTCACTCTGCTGGCGCCATCCCCTCCCCACCTCTTGCTTTTTAGAGAAAAGCAGTGAACTGACAACGCTTTTGGCACGTGTTTAGGACAGGTTTCTTGTACTTCTGAAGGATGGGCCTGTGTAAGGGTCCTGAATCACAGGAGGAGCAGTGGGCCTCCGTAAGCAGACATTAATCTGCCTGCTTCCCCCCTTCCACCTATTTCTCTCTCTGCATACCCCCCCAAATCCAAAATCTGGGATTCACAGGCCACTAGAGGGTCTTCAGCTTCCCTTTCAACAGATTTATCTGCAGATGGTGTGTTCTGCTGAGATAAAGCCAGCAACAGTACATTCCTTCTCATGTGCAAGTAAAGTATCAGCTTATTTAAGTAGCCACAGAGCTGGGACTTTATCTTTGACTCGTTGATTCATTAAATATGTACTAAACCACCACAAGCAACATGTTGTGGCAGAAAATACAAAAGTAAGGAAGATGCAATTTATTAGAGAAATGGGTATCGATACTCCGGTATGGTAGAAAGTGGGATGAAAGGTTTTAAAACCGAGCCAAATGCTACAGGAGCAGAGAGCCCAGCAGTTAATTTCACCTGAGCAGGTATGAAAGCGGGCGGCATTTTGCCATCACACTGGCCATCCACCCTCATTTTGGGGGGGGGGGAGGGGGAGGGCTAAACCTCCTTTTCATTTGTGCCAAGGTTGGGGGGGTGTCTAAACGCAGACAATATGTTTATATTGAAGGATTCGAAGCAGATAGTGCTCATTTTTTAGAATCATCTAGCCCCAGAATAAACAAATTCTCTGCTTTTTATAAAGGACCCCTGGTACTTGGAAGAAATTATTTATCATATGCTTTGTTCAAAATTGATCAACGTTACAGCATTTCAGGAGACTGGTACCTTCTCTTTGAGTGCAGGTATTAATTAGACTAAATAAATGTGCCATACCGGACCACGGAGTTTCCTTTACTCAACAGGATCTTTTAGCTACCCTAGGAAAAGCTGGCTCACCTCTGGGTAACTCTCTAGTTGAAACCTAAATTGCAAGGACCCTAAGTTTCCGGGGTCTGTGGGGTCAGTGTGTAGCACTCACACTGCCTCTACCACCCACACCCATGGCGAGCAGAGTTGCCAACACCACCAAAGTGCATGCGTCACCTCACCATCCCACTGATGATCAGCCCGACGGCTCTGTGAGCAGTAGAGTGTGATCCCCTGCTTATGTTAGAGAAGAGGGCTCTGAGAAGCTAGCAAGCCTGCCCAGGTCCCACCATCAAGGAAGGGCTGGATTTCCAGGTCTGGGTAAGAATACAGATTTGGAACTCAGATCTTCATCCAGAGAGGACAACAGCCTCGTGCCTGGTGTCCAATCTCACAGAACTGCTACAGCACAAACATTTGCTACAGAACTCCAACATGAATCAACTCTAATCCAACACCAACCAAACGCTCATCTCAGATACCTGATACCTGATGGTCACGGGCTGGGTTCATGCCCTTAGATGTCTATGCTGTCTTACTACATGGAGTTACCTCACCTCAATGCAAAAGAACACAGATCCTACAATCTCAGCTTCCCAAAGACACATCCCAACAAACGGGCTACAAACACCGAAGCTCTCAGCTTCCGCTACAGGCCTGTACACGGCCTCCCATGTGTCAAAGCTCTCTTCAAGCACAGTTCACTGTCCTCACCCAATGTCCTTCGGGAGGACCTCTGCCATCAATTCCCTCCCAAGCTTCTTCCAAAGGCAGTGCTGTCTCTGTAAATGAATTTTCCTACTCTCTCTTATCACATTTTTCTCATTTCCTCCTCTCCTGCTGGAACACTTGGATCCAGACTCACCACTCGAATGCAGGTGCTGTGTCCTCACTGCCCTGCAGACACCTTCCTTCCTTCCATCTGCCCCACTCTGCATCGCAACAGAGCAGTGACCAGCCCCCAGCCGCCTGGAGCAGACGGGCCAGCCGCTGCCCTGACCTGCTGCCCTTCCATCCACCTCTCTCTCTCAACAACCAGTGTGATCTGGGTGATTTATGCTTTGTTTGATAAGACTGGCAGGAAAATCTCCTATAAGCTCTGCTTCATCAGGCCAGCGGATGCACCATGAGGCACAAAAGCTTCTCGGTCAGGTTTTGTGTCAACAGTAAAACAAAACCAAAAAAACTCTTGTTGAAGGAAACACACTCCACATTTGCAAGGACCCTGGGAAAGAAAATGATACGTAGTCATGTATCTATGACAACTAACCCTCCCAGTGGCTGAGAATTTATGCGGAGAGAAGGGGAGAGAGAAGTCCCCTGAGGCAGAAGCGAGGGGGTACCCACACGCCACCAGCAAGGCGACACTCGCTGTCCTCCTTCCCAGACAGAGAGCATCGGCCAAAGCTGCCTTCCTGTGGTTTCTTCCTAAGAAAACCAGCCACACCAAATTTTTATTTGGATACCCAAAAAGGTGACTTACACAAAAACACCCAGGCTGATTTATTCCCTAAAGAAGCACCACTGAGATACCCCAAGCTTGTTATTCTCCTGTCTCTCGGGGCTCAGGTACAAGGCCAATCTTTGCTCAGAAAACGAGAACAGCCAGTTTCATACTTACATGTCACTGCCGGGGTTGGGTTTGACCGAGTCTTCAGCTGGAAGGCAACACTCCATAATCTCATTAAAGCCTGCATTCCCAATATTCTTGGCAAGCTGCAAAAACAGAAGTCTATTTCAGGGTACTCAATTATTAATCCATTCCACTGCTACACACTACTCATGCATCTGATGATTTATTTAATGGCCACTAAGAAATAGAGCAATAAAGTGGCTTGCCGTTAATAAAGATGGACAAAACTCAAACCTCAAAGGTACCCATAAAACCAGAGATAAGAAGCAGCACGTCTATTACAGAGAAATGTTCTCATAAAATGTCCCCTGGATAGAGTACCTAGACGGACAGGAAGCAGCAGTAACCTGGTCCAACGTCAGTTTTCCTCCTTACCCACGCCCCCAAAAGCTCAGGCTCCAAGTGAAATGGATCTAATAAGATCTATTTACGCCAGCAAGGAGGTGTCTCTGATACAGTGGAGTGGGTGCTGGGCCAGGAAGCCAAGACTTGGGATTAAATCACGGTTCAATTTTCTGGTTTTGTGACCACACCCAAGTCAGTTTCCCTGAGTTTCGATTTTTCGTCAGTAAAATGGGGATGACACCTGCCTTGCTGGGTTGTAATAATAATAAATTGGGACAATTTAGGTGAAAGCATTCTATCAACTGAAGCACTAAAAATGTATTTGTTCCAAATGTAAGGTTCCCACTCAACAATCAACCTTTTTATTTGTCAAAAATTAAATGAACACATTTTAGTTAACGCTTATTGAATCCTTGGCACTATGCTCGATGCAGCAGATAGGAAGATAAAGGTCACGGCTTGTCTTAGACCAGCTACCCTGACGGTATGGTGACTGGCATCTCCTGAATGGATGCACAAACTCTGAGTGATCAGGAGCTACTTAAAAGCAGGGGTTTAATCATCATGTCCCAGCATCCAGCCCAGCACCTGACCGAGATTAGCTTCTTCCATGTTTAATGAAACAAAACCGAGTGGGAGCACCTAGCACAGGGCTTTGGAGAGAGGAGGTATTTTAACTTCCGTGTTGAAAATGGCACAATGGGGAGCGGGGGGGGGGGGCTCTGCTACTTCTACTCTCGAGGAGTGACGTGACACAGGGTAACCACAGAGGTTCTGGGAGGTAAGGCTGCTGCTTGAGCAGCCTCTTCTCTTTCCGAGGCAGCAGACTGGAAGGAGCGGCCAAAGGGATCTGAGTTAGATGAGGTTGAACCTTCTGGTGGCAAGTAACATGACACAGTGAAATGGGATTGTGAGGGAGGCCGAAGGACAGGGGACATGCGTCAGCTTATAACTTCGTGATGAGCCTTCCTAATTTTACCGTCCTTGGTAAGTGAACAAGGCATCCTAGATGGCCTGAAGCACCAAGCACTAACCGACCCCACCTGGGTCCCTAGTCCTGGAATGGTGGCCTCAAGCCATCGTCAAGTGACAAAACCCCAGGGCCTCACCGCCGTTTCCCCAAGAATGAGGCTGATAGTCAACCATGTCAGCTGACAGCACCGACGTACCAAGGAGTCAACGCCTACAATGGATTTCTCGGATCATCAGTGACAGATCCAGGACTGAACCTTGGGATCAGACCCCTGTTTAGAGCCAGCCATGCTCTCACAACCCATCTTTCACTATAATGTGGATACCGTCCCCTCGCCAAGCACCATCGTTTTCAGAAGGTAAGTGACAGAAAAGCCACAGCACCCCTCTGTGTGCGAGGGGCCCACATGCCTCCGAGTCTGTGGTAGGCAGATGGGAGGGGGCGTGAGGAGGAGAATTCCCTGGGAATCAGAAAGCTGCCTCCCTTCTGCTTGGACTTGGCTGGTTTACCAGGGGACAGCTGGTCCAGGGAGCCACCGTATCCATGCGTCACACTCGTCCAATGCAGAGAAATGTGCCGCCTCACAGTTTTGCCAAGTTCCAGCGAATATTTCAGCCTGCAGAGAACTCCTTTAGAATCATCAACAAAAGCAAAGCATTTGCAGATGGAGGCTGCAGGGTCATGTCAAGAAAATGTGGGTCCCAGCAGGCCTCGTGGGCAGGAGCCAAGGAAGCAGGAAGCCTGGTGGGAAGCAGCCCCCAACACTCCCAGAGGACTCTGAGGGCGACACCGAGCAGACACAGGGTCAGATCAGATCTAGGAGGGTCTGAAGTGCCACATCACTCAGCAAAGCAAATGCTAGCCCCTACTCAGTCCGCAAACGCACACTGAGTCCTTGGGCATGCTGGGCGCTGAGCATGAGACCCAACCCTGCTTGGAGAGAGCTCAGTCTAACGAGAGGGATGTTGACAGAAAGAGATGCCCCGGTGCTGAGGGCTGGGAAAGAAGTCTGTGCTGAGCACAATGAGTGAGGAGACAGCAGGTGTACATCAGCAGGGCAGTTGCCTGGTCAAGACGCCCGCTTTACCCCACTTGCCTTGCGGGGAACCCTGCATGCCTCCCCCTCACTGCATGGAAGCACCTGAGCACGGGGACTTGGGAATCCCACATTCCTGCAGATCTGTAGCACCTACCCGTGCAGGGTCCACGGAGCCAGAGAGAGGCCTTAGATGTTATCTGGAAATTGTGTTTAGAGTTTGGGGTGAGGATGTGGAAAACCTCCTGCCCGTTTTCATGTTTCCAGGTGGAGGGAGATCTACTCTTCTGACATTTTTCCCTGTTTTTATGCCCCTCAACGGGAGGAATGGACAAATGAGAGAAAGAACTTCCCTGAGAGAGGGCCTTAGCCCAGCTGTACCCAGAGAACACCACACTGGGGGCGGTGGGCTCCTCCTGTCCGGAGCCTGGGGGCTGTTGTTACCTCACGTGTGAACCTGGTCAACCAAACTGGCTTCTCTCAGTAACAAAGCAGACTTTTGGGCCGCTCCCATCCCAGCAGTATGGAAGGCCAGAGGGCATGACACACCGTTAATGTTCAAATGGGCAAAGGCCCAGGGAAGTGAGGGCACTGGACCCCAGCAGGCAGAGCCAAGAAATGCTGTGAGCTCGCAATTCTGACCTCCAAAAAAGGAGTGGCTTTCATTCAGTGCCAGGTGAAACAGCGCTTGCAACTGTAAGGTAGCTGTCAGTCTCCACGGGCCTCCCTCTCCACGTGCTCTCCTTCAGACCGGGCAGTCAGCGGGCCGCCTCTCCACTGGACAGCTTGTTAACAACCGCTTGAGAAGGGAGGCAGGACAAAGTCAGGGAGCACAGGCCTGAGTCAGCAATATGTGCTCCTGAGCTTCCTGACCCTGCTCTTCAATTTGGTGGAAAAGATTTTAAAATTACTGACCCCATTTCAATTTCATAATATCAAATTTTCCTTTATTAATTTCAAAGGTCATATGATGTCAAATGGATCATATGATACAAGGACATTAGTACCAATGGTACTATTTTACATATGAAATGAAAATCAATGCTGAAATGATGACCTGTTAGGGAGAAAGTTTACCTTCCCCAAATCTATGTTTACCAGGAGATTTCTGAAAGCAGGTTTGCTTTAAAATCTAAGGATACCAAGCAGTGTGTGCTAGAGTATCAGTTCAAATGACATGACTTCCTAGAACTAATCAGTACCTTCACATACCCAGTTTCTCTCTGCTGAATAAGACATGATTCTAAAAGCAGGTGGAGGGAAGAAAAGATAACTGCTAACCAGCCACCTTCACGGATGCCGTTGAAATCCACTCAGTTAATATGGAAACCAAGCACGCTCTGAACCCAAAATATATAAAAAAAGGAAATGGTGACATTGCCACAGCACACCATCCAAGGGAACTGTGGGCAAACCTGAGACCAGAAAATAACTCACGGAATTAAGTAAAAAAATTTTTATCATGAAGAATATGGTGAGGCCATATGGGAGAACAGGAGCGACATTCTACGTGGCGAGCATCTGTTTAGGAGCACCATGCCAGCCAGAGAATGAAAATCCCCACTCATCACAGCACACCTCCCTGAGATATGAGCTCCAGGACTGATTCACCTCAAGGACAGAGAATCACTGAGCCTGTAAAGCAGTTTTGCCCAGGACATTCCCACGGAGACGCTGGGAAGTTAACTTTCCAGTTCACCCTCTTAATAGGGTGCAAAGAAGTTTAATCAACATTTGCTGCACAAGAACACATACCATGATGAACAACTCAACCAAACACCCTGAGGTCACCGCTCTGCGCATCCTAAAGGTTCATGCACGGAGCAGACAACCAGAGTGGAATCTCCCTGTGGATTCACACACAAGGACATGTGGATCATTCTTCCGAAAGGATTTAAAGTCATCTTGGAAAATAAGGAGAGCTAATCCTTCACAGTGCTTACGATGTGCCAGACATAATTCTAAACACACACACAGAGACATCTATGTGTCAAGCCTTCAGGAGATCCTCTGTGCAAGCATCCAACTGTCTACACAGAACAAAAGAACCTGGATACTTTAGAAAGGCTTGACTTCATAGGGGCACCTGGCTGGCTCCGTCGGTTAAGTGTCCAACTCTTGATTTCGGCTGAGGTTGTGATCTAAAGGTCCTGGGCTTCATGTTGGAAGCCTGCTTGAGATTCTCCCTCTCCCTCTGCCCCTCCCCACTGTTCAAGCTCTCTCTCTAAAATAAATCTTTAAAAAATACGTAAATAAAATCTTTCAAAAAAAGGGCTTGAACTCATGTTTTATAAATGAATCCTAACCCAACACACGCTATCCATGCAGCGCTTGACTTCTCAGCTGCGCAGTAAGGGTTCAGGACAGGATGTCGGGCCCACTGTCCTGGTACGCAGTGGGTGGAGTTGGGGAGATGCCCACCTCCAGTGAGCAACCACACAGGCAGAGTTGAGGGGCAAGCGGAGGGTGGGAGTGAACCTCACAAAATTCGGGGCCCTTTTCCCTCTGTTTTTCTTTTTTCTTTTTTTAAGGTTTTCTTTCTTTATTTGACAGAGAGAGACAGATTAAGCACAAGCAGGAGGAGTGGCAGAGGGAGAGGGAGAAGCAGACTCCCCGCTCAGCAGGAGCCCGATGTGGGGTTTGATCCCAGACCCTGGGATCATGACCTGAGCTGAGGGCAGATGCTTGACCGACTGAGCCACGCAGGTGCCCCATCCCTCTGTTTTTCTGTAACCATGAGGGAGAGTCTGGAACTACGGCAGAGGTCAGGGTCTAGAAATACCTGCAGATATTAAATAAGCAGGCCTGACGGCTCCATCAGGGCTAACAGCTGGCCAAACAAACTCCTGGGAACATTTGCTGACAGAGGCCCTGGGAGAGAGAGACCAAGATTCGAACCCAGTATCAGAAGCCACCTCATCATTTCACTGAGATGTAAACATCTTCCCTTCCACCTTCCTTGGCCTTTTCCTGTTTAGTGGGCAAGAGTCTCATGAAGACCATCGGTTGAGGTTTTGAGACACATTTAAGCAGGTGTAACAGATGTGCTGGGGTCAGGCTCCTACCAGCTCATGACTGCCATTAGTAAAACTACATTATATAAACTCACAGTTACATAAATTATATTAAAAACAAAGTAATAATCAAAACTCATCACTTCTGAATCATTTTACTACTCTGTTTCTGAAGTCACTGAGGACTGCTGTTTGTGAGGCAAATTCCCCATATGAGGGTGTGTTACCAAGCACCTCTTTCCCACCGCACAGTCGGTAACTCACACTGGTTACTCATGACGGCACAGATTTGACAAAAAGGTCATGGGGGGGGTACTGACATCACGTGGAGAGACTGTTCAACATTTGCTGGGGATGGGGATGGGGAGGGACGGCACCTGTGCTTACATGCTCAGCACACGGCAAGACTCGCCCCCACAAAGGCTGGTTTATGTCCCAGGCTCCTCAGAGGTTAAGTTCGAGCTCTGGGATCAGATGAAAGGGCCCCGCCCCCGATCTAGCACTTCAATAACTATATAACCTTGGGCACATTATAACATTCTAAGCCTCAGCTCCTCCTTTGTAAAGTGGGGACAAATACCAAGGTCATTGGTTGTCGTGAAGGGCAAATGAGCTAATATATATCAAGTGCTCTGTGAAGGGCCTCGTACAAAATAAGCAATTATTATTTCTCCAAAAATCACTGAACACTTCCCACTGTCTTGAGAAAACCAGCAACGGCAATACAGCAACTGCCAGAGTTTACCAGAGAATTCGTGCTTCTCTGAAAACAGACTGTGGGAAGCTCAAATCTACGCCACCATCAGCTGCCCAGGATACCACCCCCTGGACACATGCAGCTCTAAGACGTGGGTGGAATGCACCATGACATCGACAATAACCACACTGTGGAACCAAGGATACACTGCTGGAGTCCTGCCGAGTCTAGCTTAGTTCTAAACTTGACGTCATCAGGGATGTGACTCACCAGGAGACCAGAATTCACTCTAGTTTCTCCCAACTTTGTGTTTCAAGACCATAAAGGAATCCTCTGGAAAGACTGGAAGGATTTGACAAGATAGTACAAAATGCATTCGAAGTTTAGACACACTGGTTCTACAGTAGTCATCAATAAAATGTACAGCCCCTTGAGAGGTATATTGACCACAATAATTGATTTTCCGTCAGGATTACTGCTCTTTTCATTACAATCAACGGCAATCTGTAACCACTTAATGTTCACTGTCCAATGCCCAGCTACGCCAAGTGTTTCTAACACTGCTTACCACCAGCAATTACAGACTCTGAAAACAGTTCACAAAAGCTCCATTTTAGGTGGCCTCAAAACACCTAGTGTGATGTGCCTTTTCCTCAGTGGGGCCAGTCTCAAAACTCTGGACGTTACATGACAGAAAGTGCTTCAGCCTCCCAGGATCAATGTACATCGCACTGCATGGCTTAATGTGTTATCACCGAACCAAGAATGAAAGCCTTCCTTAGAAACAAAGGCAGTAAAAGCAAAGACCAGTGTCTCCCCGAAAGGGCGACAGTAAGGGCCCGGGGAAAAGAGCACTGAAGGCTTGAGCCGAGTGGTGACCACAGACTTGGCAGGAATCTGCGGGGGACTCGGGGAACACGTCCTCGACTGTCTCTGGGCTCGGCGTTCCGCGTGTGGTTAAGGAATGGGGTGAGCTAAACTGCGCCACCATCCTAGTCCACGATCCTACAACAGTCGCAGCCCTCCTTTCTGTTTTACTTCACTTGATTTGTTTAAGAACCAAGTTTAATAACAAAAAGTGCCCTCAACTACCAATAGCCAAGAAGGAGGAATCATCACTGAGGTTCTAATTGCCCAAACCCATCTGGAAAAAATCAACAACCATCAGCCCAATGGAATTTCAAGAAACCAAAATGGATTTGAATGCCAACATGAAAACTCAGCTTTCAGCTCATTCATCATTTCCATTTCAAAATCAAGGATCTGAGAATTACCAGCAGCTCAGATGTTCCTAAGACATCTAACGTGAGGGACTGCATCCTCGAATAGTGAACCCCGAGCTCCCGGTGGATTCCAGAGCACTCAATGCAGGTCAGGATGCCCAGATTGGTGGAAAGCCATGTAGGATCTGCCAAAGAGAACAGGGAAAATTGGAGCTTGCAGTAAGTAGCGGGCCGGGGTCACAACATTTTTCCTGTAGGGCTACTGCACGGGGAGTTTTGAGCACGAGCGTTTTCTCAATCCTTGACACAAGCCAGAGCTCTCATTCACCATTCACTCTGCATTAGCACTGATTTACACACAACACACACACACATGCACGTGTCTGCTCTCCGTCCTCTTCCCATCCCTCCATTTCTTTACGCATTTGTCTCGACCACCCTTCCATTCATTAAGAACTCCCCAGTGACAGGCGTTGTGAACACGCGGGACGCAGTGCCCTCTAGTGGGCACAGGTCTCTGAGGGGTGTCCTGAGCATCGACCATGCCCATCGCCAACCTTGGTCAGAGCAGCAGAGAAAAACCGCCACAGTCTAGTGCCGGATGGGGAACAGACTTACAATGTGTCTCTATGTTCGCAAAACATTAACGGTACCACTAGAGAGCACCTACTACGTGCTGATGCCATACTGTGTGCTCAGCACTTCGGGGGCAGCAGGAAGAGTTCTGATCGTAAGAGCTTTGGAAATTGCGGAGACTGACACAGAATCCTTCATTCAGCACATACAAGAGCGCCAGCAGGCGAACAGGTCAGGTGTCTACACAGTGCTCAGCAAGGAGAAGGGCCTTACTGGGGGCGGGGGGGGGGGGCTACACGGCCTCCCTGCCTGTGCCGAGGCCCAAGGCCATGCCAATGCCCCGTCAACATGCTGCTCAGAGCAGTTACTTACCCCCTGAGGCATCCTACTATGTGCTGGCCACACGGCAGACACTCAAGACCTGCCTGACAGATGAAAGCCAGCCTGAAAATGGGGCATTCAAAATAAAGCCTACTCGAGTACCTTATCACGGCCAGTAAGTACCATTCTCTTTCGAACCACCTGCTGCCCTTGGAAACTCACAGCAGGGAAACAGCATAACCTGGGTCACGAGATCACGGTCAAGTTCTTTTTTTAAATGTTTAATTATAAAAAATTTTAGCCGTTAGGAAATACTTCTGGGCATCTGTGTTTTCACTTCTACCCTATCGGCTGTATCACGCTCTCACACGCTCTCCGCAGGTAGGAGTGTGTTTCGACTACTTTGTACCAAGTTTCACGTCACCCACCCTGCAGCGTTTGCAAACAGAAATGTACAAAGCTTTGACTTCTTTACCGAAGCGTTTTAAAAGTCCAAGTGCTGCACTGTCCTCATCTTTTCTTAAGAAAAAGCACGATTCACTACTTACCACTCCCTACCTCGTCTCCTGCCAGAAGGTAATTTTTAATGGGTCTGAGACCCTGAGGGAGTTCCTCAAACTACCCCCAGATATACAGCCTTTGGGGCAATAGGAACCTCCCAGCAATTCTCAACTGCCCACTCTATTTTTGTTGTGTTGTTTTTTGTAAGAACTGTCATAGAATGAGAGGAAGGAAAACGGTAACTGACCATCCCATGATCTTTCTCATTTTGTAAATGTCCAGAAATAGCTATTCCAAAGCTCCCCGGACCTCACGGCACCATTCCATCTTAGTCAGAAGAAATCCACTCCTTAGGCTTTTAAAATACTAGCTATTAAAATCTACAATGATACTCTATGTCGATTAAAAAAAATGAAGCCCCTGAGAGGCTTCATCAAAATGAAGAATAAACATCTCATTTCACAGAACGTGCACCTGGGAGGGACCCGAAAACATTCTCGGCCAGTTCCTTCACCTTCCATACAGGAAAACTGATACCTAACAAAGAAAGTGGCTCTCCCAGCATCACAGACTAAACAGCGGCTAGAAGTTCTACAAAGCAGCACAAAGAGAGGATGGAGTAAATCCCGGGAAAAGCCGCCCCTACACGGCCACACAGCCAACATAATGAGCAGATGACCTTGGTTTCACCTGCCTTCTGTGCTTCCGTTTTCATTTCTTAAAAAGCTTCTAATCTTTTCAGCTCCATCGGGCCATCTTCGCGTTGCCCTGTGCGGGGCCCGGAGGTAGGCGTCTTCCCACCCTCCACCCCCAAAGGTCTGCACACAGCCCAGGACGCAGCTCTGTGCCGCCCGGGCACCGCCGGGTCTGCAGTGAAAGGGAAAATCGGTGACTGGTCTGTGAATCGGAATGAGATGTGACTGTCCCAAAGCTGGGGGGAGGGACGGGGGAGGGTGTCACCTGGTGCCCCACAGTCGCAACACACGTCATTGCCCGTCATCCTCTGCACTTCGGAGATGATCTCCTTTGTCAGCTCTTGGACTATGTTATTTTCCCCGGTATTGTCATCCCCCTTAAATGCATTGTTTAAAGCTTCTTCTTTGCTGTTCTGCAGCACAGACATCCATCTAGAAAAATAACAGAGATGCTGTGTTAAAGCCCCAAGGACTGCGAGGTCCTGGCCCCAAGGCCCACCTCCAAGGAACTTACATTTGACATTCCTGCTCGTCCTCCGCTTGGAAGTGGTACGTCCTGTCATCTGCACGGCAAGAGGAGTTTGTCAATTGTGAGCCTGCACGGTAATCCGCACAGGATTCCAGCAGAAAGTGGTTTATAACTAACCTCGGGAATAACCGCAACTCTCCGCTAGGAAATGAACCATCTCTAGAGAACTGAGCCCTCCCTCGTGTCATTCCATGCCTTGCTTGCCCTTGCTCTGGGGGACTGTGGCTTTATCATCCAAATTCACAAACCTGCCCTGCCCTCCATTCCAGTTCATAAAGAGATGAAACTTACCCAGGCCGAAGCTATTCAGGGCCGGAAACCATCAACATGTTTTCAAAAGCTTTGCTTTTTAACTTGCTACAAAGTTGGTCCCCCCAAAAGTAATTGTTACAGCCCTTTGAATAATAAAAGCCTGTCCTCATGAGTATCTGAGAAGTTTTCTGGCCTTCTTAGAAAGAGGAGGCGTTCTAGCAGGCCATGGGAGTGCTGTGTTGCAGGGTAAAGCAGGAGGGACAGCCAGGTGATGACGGGATGTGAGACCGTAGGCTCACACACAGCCATGTGCAAACACAGCAGCGTCTACAAGGCTTGTCCCAGACTGCTGAACCCTGTGCACGGAGCAGAGAAGAGGGGCACGGGATGTGCTATTCCTCCCAAAAGTGCAGAACCTCAGTCCAATTGTGGGAGAGCATCAGAGAAATCCAAGTTGAGGGGCAGGTGACCAAAAAACCGATCAATCTTCTTCAAAACAAGTATCAAGGTCATGGAAGACCAGGAAAGGCTCTGACGTTGCCACGGCCAGTAGCAGATGAAGATGAAGTAAAAACGAACCGCGGGATCCTGCAGGAAGTCCCGAGCACCGGCGGAAATGCCCGAACCATGTAAGACTCCTCGTGAACAGCATCACCAATGTTGATCTCCGGGGTTTTTGGGGTTTTTTTAAAAGATTTTATTTATTTGACAGAGACACAGCGAGAGAGGGAACACAAGCAGGGGGGGCGGGAGAGGGAGTAGCAGGCTTCCCACTGAGCAGGGAGCCCGACGCGGGGCTTGATCCCAGGACCCTGGGATCGTGACCTGAGCTGACGGCAGACGCTTAACGACTGAGCCACCCAGGCGCCCAGATTCCCAGGTTTTGACAGAGTACACATGGCCGGTAACACGTACCATATACTACCATACAAGCCATCAGGGGGCTGGTGAGGGATATACAGAGATTCTGTCTACAGTGAGTCCAAAACAAAGCCAAAAAGGAAAATTAAATTTAAAACCAAACAGAACGAAAAAAGGGAGGAGACCCAACTTCTGCAGAGAGCAGAGCAGTGACTGTCCTTGGGGACGCACAGAACCCTCGGGGCCCCTCTGAATGAGCTCACACGTCGTCTTCCAGCAGTGGTCTTCAGAGCCCTGGAAGCAGGCTGGTCCTGAGCGCAGCTCCTGGCGGGCTGGCTGGAGGGACACTGAGGCCCACGGAGGGCAAGTGGCAAAGACAAACACAGCCAGCGGCAGAGGAATCAGGTCTTCGACTCATGGTCCCATTCGCTTCTTCCCACCCTGTTCTACCGTTTTTCTCACACTAAGGGGGGACAGAACGACACCCCTGCTCTAACCCCACCCCGTCACCAAGGAGAGGAGCGGGACTTAAGAGAACAGTTTCAAGTTCAGAAATATGAACTGAATTTCGGGAGTCAGCGGTCAGAGGCTGAGCCATGTGGAGGTGCCAGTGCTGGAAAGAGGGAGCAATGCCCCTTCTGCGGCTCCCACCTCCGGCTCTGATGTGAATGGCCTCAGCCGGAGGCAGGGCCCGGAGGCGCAGAGCCACCCCCCACACGGAGGGCCTCTCAGAGTTCTCGGGAAGCTGTGCTGTGGTGGGTAGTGTTAGGGGCTCTGTCTCTCACTGAGCCGCCTCCCGGCCAGACCCGCACAGCTCCAGGAGGAGAATCGAGGCGGCCAGGGGAGCAGCCCATTTCCTTTGGCCAATTGTATATTCTGACGTGTGAGGAGCAGGCGAAATGCTCTGTGAAAACTTCCAAGTAAGAATTCCCTCCTACAGACACTTTCGAGATGCTTATATATAAACTCAAGAGCAGTTTCTAGCAGCTTCAACTCTAAGAGAAGAAAAAGCAAGAAAAGATGGTAGCTGGGGGCTGGGAAGGGCTGCCTCTCTGCGTGAGGCTCCGGCTCCAGCTGGCCACAGCCCCAGTGTGTGGACCTGGAAAGATCCTGGCTCCTGGTCCGTCTTATTCAGGCTGCCGCTGACCTAGGTCACCTGCAAATTCTCCTGCACCTTCCATCCTGCCAAGGGTGACGGTGTGATTGAGGACAGTGGCGCAGGACTTGAGTTTGCAAAGGGTGGGGGTCAATCTGAGGGCAACGGAGCTGGACGAGCTCCTGAAGGCCTGGCCTTGCCACAGAAACGCCCTCCTTGAGGAGCCCAGGCCCATTTACAGCTGGCTCCAAGTGGGGAATGCCTGCTGGGGGAAAGAATGGTAACGGAGGGCCCTGCAGGGAACCAACGGAAGCCAGCTGTCAGTCTCTTACTCTTCCGGGCTGCCTGAGCCATTTTGGGATGGCTTCCCAGGAGGAGGGTGACTCTGGGGGCCTGAGACACCCACAGCTGAAGTATCTTCCTCACTGCCCATGATCGTGCAGCTTGACTTTTATTTCTCCAACCACCCAAATGTTTGAAGAGCTCAAACGCATCTTCGAGCTATGTGTCCCAGTAGCCTGGCCAGCAGGTGGGGGAGGAACAGAGAGGGTGACAGCCTCGTGTCCCAACTCAGGCACGATCAGACATGACCCCGAGCCCCAACCTTCTCGGGATGCTCGACAAATCAAGGCTTCACCGCTTGGCAGCGTCTCCCTGGAGGACTCCTGGCCGGTTTTCAGGCTTCTCTGTGACAACTAAACCCACATACCGCTTCGACAAAGCATTTTCACCACAACTACTCCTAGGAGAGTAACACCTTTTGAAAACTAGGATGAAAAATTCGTAGGATTGGGATTCACTCGACCCACTAAAGGACAGTGGGAAGAAGAAGAAAGAAGTGTTTTTCAAAGAATGACAATGGACTCTGGCAAATTTACAAAAGTGCCTCAAACCGAATTCGGGAGCCCTTCTGGGTATCAGAGGCAGGAAGCCCTTGCCCGAAGATGTTTATTATGCATTAGACAGTAGAGCAAAGATACTGATGGAATCTTGGGAAATGCCGGCTTGCCAGAGCATTCACACGAAACCAGATTTACACAGGCCCGCCTTCCCACACGTCCAGGGAATGCAATAATTCACGCTTGGTAGGGAGCGGGGCACACTTACCATCTACTGACCCTCCTTGGTGCCTGACCAGTAGTTACAAACGTGTAGGTTGGGGAGTGCTTCGGGGTTGTTTACAAGTATGAAGTAAATGCCTCTGTGCATCTCACGGGGCCCCCGCAGGGGTGCTGGAGGGAACAGTGCAAGTAGAGGGATGTTCACCTCTGCCTCCCCGTGTGCGCGCAGCTCAGGCAAGCTCTGTTAACTACTAAGAGCCCATCAGGTCTTGAAGGGTGACACACTGCTTATCATGGGTTATTGCTTCAGAAAAAGGATGGCCTAAAGCCTCCGAGTTGTCCCCAGCCACTTGCTGACATCAGCTTATACCAACAAGGTCTCTCCCTTTACATAAAACTCTATTGCTCTCTGAAGGCAGGTAACCCCAGGAGCGATCCCATGTTATTATTTTTTTAAAAAGATTTATTTATTTATTTTAGAGGGAGAGCTTAGGGGGTACAGGGAGAGAGGGAGAGACAGAATCTCGAGCAGACTCCCCACTGAGTGTGGAGCCTGACACGAGGCTCGATCTCATGACCCTGGGATCAGGACCTGAGCCAAAATCAAGTCAGATGCTCAACCCTCTGAGCCACGCAGGCGCCCCTCGATCCCACTGTAAACTACGGTCAGTCCTGCACGTTTACACTGTCTCGTGTGAATGAAGGATCTGAGAGTACAGAGGGGTAAACACATTTGTGGCCCTCACGAGACTGAGGAAGGACATGGGGTTTGAAGCAGGATAAAGTCAATATTACAAATTAGTCTAGAATCTGAAGGACAGAACAATGCCCAAACCCTTCACACACATCACACTGCTCAAGGCTCTCCTCCAACTTAGTACAGTGCACATTACAACGGGGACAACAGGGTACAAGGATGAATGGCCATGGGCCTCCGTCTCATCATCCAGAGAAGTGGAGGTGGTAATAATTACCTCCTAAGCTTGCTATGAGCAATAAATCACATAAGAAATAACTTCCTAGCCCTCAGTAATATAATCCAACAGACATCTTAAAAACTAGCCACGTCATGCTCTGGATACTGAGGCAATTAAGACTGTGCTCACCTTCCTAAGATCACCTTCCTAAAATGCACGACGTTCTAGACTTTTCCTCTATAAACACAATTCTTGTGCCTAAACCCGTTGTGACCCCCTTTGAAAGGGGATCTGGCTCCTTCCTCCCTCCAAACTGTAACCCTGCCACCTAAAAGTGCCATGAACAAAGGCCAATCTTGTTTCAAGACACACTAGTCCTTTCCTTTCTTAGGGACGCTGAGTAGACACTCGTCACAACAGATGGTTCTGTGGTGATTCTTTTGTGTACACCACAAAAAAGAAAAGCATACAGAAGCAAAAAGACAAATTCTGTGGTGGGGAAGACAAAACAATTTCAAAAACGAACGTTTCCAGGGCTCTGAAGACCTTACCATGTTAGCTGTGCAGCATTTCTAACATCACCCAAACCATGGAAGCTTTGACAACACAGAATCGTTCTTTTTTATAGTTAAGTGAGGAGATTTTAGGCTCAAGGGGCTGATCTAGTATAATCTCCTTGTTTACGGGGGCCCATGAGGAGAGCAGGGCCGCCCTCAGCGTCAGTTCCTAAACTGGAGGGACTGGCAAACAAACAGTTATGAGTGGAAAGAGGAAGCATGTATGTCATGTGAAGGCCTTTCTCCTTGACAATCAATTTTTTGAAATGGGATTGACGCCCCAGCAGAGAGTTGAAAATCATTTCTCTAGTGGCCTAGCACCTGAGAAATAAACTTACGTGAAATAAGGTCAAAACACTTTTTCTCCTCGGGGTTGGTCTTCACTTGGCAGGTTAATAGGTTGAGCTTTGCCGGAGGCCGGTTTGCCTGTTTAAAAACAGAGAAATAGGGAGATGTGTGGGAAGGAGGAGAAAATCATATGGTATCATTTCTCATTAAAATACAGCAAGAACATGGGGCGCCTGGGGGGCTCAGTCTGTTAAGTGTCCACCTTCAGCTCAGGTCATGATCTCAGAGTCCTGGGATTGAGCCCCGTGTCCAGCTCTGCGCCCAGCCGGGAGTCTGCTTGTCCCTCTGCCCCTTCCCCTGCTCCCATTCTCTCTCTTTCTCTGAAATAAATAAAATCTTTTAAAAAAAATACAGCAAGAACAGGATTTCCACTAGTTTGCAAAGATGGCTTGCAGAAGGCAGATTTTATGTAGGCAGGCACAACACAGCATGTCCTTAAATCTCAGCTCCCTGGAAGGCAGTTGCCACTTCCTGTGAGGGACACTTGGTGGCCCCACACCTACCCAGCCAGGGCGCAAGTGATGCTTGCTGTGAGGCCGATGGGCGTGGGCTCCCTGAGATCAAAATGCTCCACAGCTAATGCTCTGAGACATCTGTCCCAATTCCTAGTGATGACACAGATGGTTGGCTAGGTGACTTAGGCACCAAGCTCAATTTCTGGTGATCTTAGAAGTGTTTTCCTGAGTGTAAACACTCACTTCCAAGGAAAGAAATCTCATAGCACAAAAATGACTGAGAAATTATTTTCCCTACTTTTTGAAGTCACAACAGGTAACAGATTGATAATCCTAAATGCTAACCATTTGTCACTTAAGTTTTAACAAAACCCATCTCATTCACATAAGTACCCCGAATCCCTCCCAACACAGTGGCAACAAAAGATCATAATACATTTTTGTCAGACAGATGTCAAAATGGGTATTTTATTACCATTTCAAAAACCACCATAATTAGTCCAAAAAAGGGCAAAGATCAAAGGATAAGATTATTTTAGGGGAAAAAAAAATATCAATGGTAAAATGTCTCTCAGAAATCTTGGAGAAATCTCCAAATATGAGTGGGCATATCTTACCCACCTCCCAAGCTGCAGAAGGAAAAGATCAAATAAAATGCCATATACTTCAACCTTTTATTCACCCTACCTGTGGCCACCAGCCACATTTACAGGTTGTGAAAGCTTGGATTTGGCATTCATTGAGAAACACACACATGAGCATCCACACCTGGGCAGACCTGTGAGACCTTCATTCATTTATAAACTCCTTTCCACTAAACTCAGGGTAGGGGTAAGGGAGCATAGTCTCCATTCAAATAGGATGGATCCTTGCAGTGTGAAGTTTGGGTTTGATAAAAGGAAGGTGGGGTAAAAACAGAAGTTGGATAAAAAGGGTGGACCAGACTCTCCTGGTCTGTAGCCATGCTGGGCTCATCTCTCATATGAAATTCACTGGATATTCTCCACAGTCGTAGATGCCTAACAGAATCCTTTAATCGTCAGAAATCAGTATTAAAAGACTTCAAGCTCTATCCAATCTTGCAAACCTTGACAATTCCAAGTGAAAGTACCATCAATCCAATTTTGGATCTTTACCAACAGAATTACCTGGCTCATCTAGGAACCAATACACCGAATGATACATTTCTACAGTGCCAAGTGGTTGACCACACCACGATGCAACCACATACTTGACCGCATAAAGTAGTTGTCTACCTGTCACCTCCTGTGATCACACAACTACATATATGCATCTAGGGGATGTTCCTGGCCTATTTCCAAACTGCTGGTGTCCACTGGATCTCAGGCACAGGAGCAGTAAGAGGGACTCGTGTACACAGAAACACTTTCATGCACAAGAAGATAATTCTGAATAGTAAGAGTAGCTACATTTACTCAGCAATTAAAAACCATCATCATCATTATTATGATTTGCCTATAGGAGGCAGGTACTACTGTTCTAAGAATTTTTAATAAAATAACTCATTTAATTTTCCTAAACTGACCTTTGAGGTAGGAACTGCTCCAGTTTTATAGACAGAGGGACTGGCCCAGATAGACTAAGTAACGTGATGAATCTTACAGAGCTTGGGGGCAGTTAAGCAACATTTGAGCCAAGGGCAGGCTGGGCTCAGAGCACAAGCTCTTAATTGCAGCGCATGGATTTCCATGGAAAGCAGAGGCACGGACCTCTGTGCATACCTTTCAGTGCCACAAAAAAGCACAACTGAATTAAAACCACCCTCTAACTTGTATCCTTCCATCTTCCCTGTGCCATGGGGAAAGCTGCTCATTCTTACCAAGACAGCTACCCTCAAAGACAGACTGTCCTTCACATGTACAAACAGCACAAGACATGGGAAAATATTCAGGGCCTCTATTTGAAGTAGGAATAATTCTGAAGGCACAAATGTGGCTACATGTTCAAAGTAACAGCTGTCAGAGTAGGTCCCCAAAACTCAGAACAGCTGATACTGCTGAAGATGTCAGCTTGTATGTTTTACATTAATAAATGTTTGCTATTTGTCCATCCAGATTAAGGAGTAGCTGACACAAAAGCTGTAAGAAAAAATCTACAGGAGAAAATTTTTAAATAGAGAAAACTCTATCCTTTTAATTCTCTCCCCTGCTGCAATTTGAGAGAAATGGTGTCATCACTGAATTCAGCTATAGAACAATTCTACCTAATGCATCAGATACCAGTGCTCTTTGAGAGCTTAATTTGAAAAGCTCTGCCTTAATAGAAAGGAAGGATCGGGAAAGAGATCTATAGATTTTGTGTTTGACTCAAAGCACTGATTATCAGAGCTCCTCTCATTTTAATAATGCCATTCTATTTTTTCCAATTTCTCAGGCCTTTAATAGGAAGTCTGTATTCTTCATGATTGATGATCATTTAAAAAAAATGAGACTACATAATAACCAGGGGACATTTCTTCCAGTTTAAAAAGTCTCCAGTCTTTGGCAGTGTGGCAAAGTGATGCACTTGGCAAAGATGATACTCAATTAGTTATTTTGTCCCAAGGATCACTTTTCCCAGTGCCAGAAAACACAATTAACCTTGGCTAACAGGGAATACCAACTACAGCTTTCACTGAATCCATCCGGATGTTATCACCGTCCCTCTGCTAGAATACAGGACACAACAGTCTCCTCTCCCAAAGGCTGCCAGCTTCCTGGGAAAAAACTGGTTTTCCAAATGGCACAAATACACCCCGTGCTTCCACAATGTAAAGATCTGATTCTCCACTGAGCGCCAGCTACTGCTCTTATATCCCCATTTACTCAATCAGGTCTTTGTGAACAACTGTCCTTTTCCCCCGATGATAAATTAGCCTACTCAGGGAGACGCTGGCTACAAAGGAGCCAAATCCAAACAAAATCAAACAAAAAGGCACCTCTCAAATCCCTTTCTCGGCAGAGGTTAATTCACATCACTGCCCGTGAACACTGAGTGCAGTGGCGTGAGTGTGTGTGTGTGTGTGTGTGTGTGTTGGGGGGGCGGATTCTGCTTTCCAGAGCAAGCAGAATGCACACAGAATTAGGAGAAAAGGACAGCTCTGTGGTGTGTGTATAGGCCCTGCTTTAGGAACCCTCTGGTCTTCCTGGCAAGGCAGAGGGCCAGAGGCAGGGTTGCTCTCACGGCACCCAGCCCAGGCTGCGAAGGGCCCAGTGAGTCACAGAGAGCGCGCAGAGATTCCCTAGACGGGGATCCCCCTAAACACAAAGCACTTACTAAATATGCAAGTTGCGTGACAAGGTGAGCTATCAGCACGCTAGTAAAGCTAGCTATAACTACTACCTGCCAAAAACCAGAGCAACCCATCAACATTTAAAGGAAACTGAGCCTCTGCATCTTCTAGGGAGAAGTAATGGAAGTGATGTGAGCCCAAGTTTACACTGTGAGCAAAGGATTACTAGGCCTGTTTTCATTTCTCTCTCGGAGGGAGAACCACTCGTCGGCTTAAGCCGAGGCTCTGGGTCTAGCAGAATGCTTTAATGAGGCAAATATACCAAATGACTTAAGAGCTGTAAAGAGGCACAGAATGAAACTCAGTCTTACTCTGTGAAATTTTCTGCATGGAGGCAATAAACCTGAATTAAAACAAACAACTGAGTAGAAAACAATTTGAAAGCAGAGCACAGAAACACAGGTGTTTGGAGCAGGGATGGAACCTGGCCATCATCCAGTCTGTGGTCTTAATTTTAAAGAGGCATGGTGACTAGATAGATCAGCCTCCCTGAGTCTATAGCACTCCTCCCCAACACTCAGGCATATGTCTATACGGAAAGAACATCACATCAGGATCCAAACTGCACAGCCCTGGGAGTGATGTCGTGACCACGAAGGAGGCCAGTGAAGGCTGGATTTTATAAAAGAGAAATGATCTCTATTTGCCCAGGCAAGAGACACATTCAATCTCCTAGGCCAAAGGTCCCAAGAGATCCCTATAGACACTGAACGTATGCGAGGGCCCAGTCTCTCTCTCTTCCCCAAGCAGCCAGTGAAAACGAAGGGGCCCCTAGTGGGACACAATCGAGGCTCAAGGGAGGTTTTACTCTGTTTCCTTATGCATGAATCATGAGAAGAGCTGTTTCTCTGGAACTCACGTTTAGCTATTGCCTGTCTACAGCTGTGCTCCTGCCCATCTCTGCCTTTCACCAGGGGAACTGGTGGGAAAGGGGGGTTGGGGGGAATGACAAAGACTCCGGGTCATCTCTACTCCCATGCACTCACAGGACTGGGGCTGCTTGTATGCACAGAGTACCAGGCCTTCTGCTTGGGGAACAGAAATGCTGGCCACCATCAGTGTTCTCATTAGTCCCAAAATAGCAACAACTCAGCCTTTAGACATTTTCAAAAATGTCTACCAGCCTACGTGGTATTTATCAGATTCTGTCATACCAGGTAAGGCATGATACACCTAAGCCACCGTGGGAAAGAGCACCACGGTGTGAAAGGCTGTGTTTGTAACTGTGGTTAAAATCCCTGGTCTGGAAGATAGATTAGTAAATCATTTTATTCAGATTGATTGGTTTTTCAATAGGCTACACACAGAGGCCTCCGTTTCTTGCAAGGACTCTTATACACAGGATGACAGAAAAAGGTCTTGATTAAGGTTGGGCGCAGTGTGTTAGATTTCTACAATACATGACTGAAATCTCTCTTCTCTTGGATTTCGGATTCCCAGTGTACTGACCACCGAAACGCTTCCCCTCTAATGGAAAAGTAGGCATCTTCCCAAGCAGGATATTCGATTTCCAGAGACAAAGACAGCTGGGAAGTGGTGGGCTGTTTGTTTCTGGAAGCCACCGGCGTCTAAATGAAGACCGCCGACCCAGTCAGGCAGTGAACGACACAAGGCTCTCCCCAGCTGGAGGAGCATGAACAGGGGACAGATGCACCACATCGAGAAGGACCCCAGATGTGCTCTCCTAGCTGAGGGGGGGGTTGTCTTTAAAAGGCGTTGTCAAGGCCAGATCGTGCCCAGTGGCTGGCATCCCCCACTCACCTCCCTGCAGCAGTCCCCGAATTAAAAGAGAATACTTACGGTGCCGTGGGATATGGTCAGGAAACCATTTTTAACTGAACATTTCCTTTTCTGCCACACTTTTCGGATCCTTAGAGATAAATGGGAAAGAAAAGATAAGAGTTGAGCAATTTTGGGCGCAGGAGACCCACGCGCACATCACCTCCAGCCCCACGGCCACTTACCCGTCGCTCTTCTTATAGAGATTGCCGTTCCGCTCAGTCCCGTGCTCTTTGTTTCCCTGAGGCTGATGTAAACTATAGGCTGTACTCTGGCGAATTTGTGGATCCTAAAAATGGTCGAGAAGTTGCTTTTAATCCTGTCCAGATTCCAAGTTTTAAAAAAGCCGTCCTTACATTTTTTTTTAATTAGAGAAATGTCATCTATCAGCACACCAAAAAAAAAAAAGGGCATAAAAGTCATACCTAGGAATTCGTTAATGCCACCTGCAAGGCTGGAGAAGTAAATGTCAAACCAGCATCCCCCAACCAGCTGATGGAGAATGAGCTATTTGGAAGTTACAGATTTTACTTAATTATGAGCCTTAACTCCCTGATAATGGCAAGAAGCTCCTGGTGTGGCAAAAGCAGCTTTCAGAAGAAAGGTAACATATGTGTTAGAAAAGGCAGCACTTTTAAGCAAGAAAAATCCCCAATGTTCCACCTCTTACTTGTAGGCAAGTTACTTACACTCCCTGCCTCAGTTTCTTCCTTGGAAAATAGGAAAACAATACCCAGTAAAATGATAAATATAGTAAGGTCTGAGTAAGAGAACACGTGTGAACACCCGGTACGTAACAGGTGTTGAACAATATTCCCCTCCTGATCCATCAACCCAGCAAAGGGGCCGAAGCACTGAACCTAACCGCCTCAGCCTCAGGGCAGACTGTGCACTTGGTCAGCAGAGAATCTGCCACAGTTGGAAACTCCGGTCTTCAGCTACCCCGGGCATCCGGTGGGCGCTCAACTATTGAACAGATGATATCAGAAGCCCTGAGCCGAGCGTGGAAAGGAACTGTCCATACTAGAACTGGAAATTCTGGCAGACGTAACGGGGGAGCAAAACATGAACAGAGTTCACAGGCCAATTGTTTATTGAGAAGCTCCCAACTGCTCCATTTCATAATGGAGGAAATAGAAACACGATGAAAATAAGTGATTTGGTTAAGATGCAGAGCCTGTTAGGGCCAGAGAGGAGAATGGAAGGGAATTCCAACCTCCCCCTCGATGCTCCTTCCATGTGCCCTCGCCAGAAGATGTCCCAAGACACAGTCTCGTCTCCACCATCCTTGGGGAAACTAGGCACTGCCTGATGAAGAAGTCAAAGTGATCCGGATCAAGTACACAAGTATTCTAGAAGTGAAGGGCCAAGTGGGGGAAGCCGCAGGAGTCTGGAGGGACGGAGTTTTCGAGACGAAAGCAAGCAGAGATGAAGAATAAAGGGAGAGTAACACACAGACGCATGGAGAGGAAAGTGGTGGCTGTGGTCATCCTCTGTGGATATCAGGACAGCTAGTGTAGCTCAGACAAAGTGGGCCAAGTGGTAGAAGGGACAGACAGACTTGAGTCAGAGTTACCGACTTCATCTGAAGGCAACAGCAAGCCACCTCACTTCTTGACAGTTTTAAAGGTTTTTGAAGCATAACATTTTAAATTTTGATGAAATTTATCTATTGCTTCTTTTGTCATTTATACTTTAGATGTCACATCTAAGAAACTCTGGCTTACTCCAAGATCATGAAGAGTTATACCTATGTTTTCTTCTAAGAATCCGAGTTTCAGCTCTTAGACTTAGGTTTCTGATCCATTTTGAGTTAATTTTTGGTTATGGTGTGAGGTAGGGGTCCAAATTCATTCCTTTGCTTGTGGCTATCCAGTTGTCCCAGCAACACTTGTTGAAAAGACTATTCTTTCCTCACTGAATTGTCTTAGCACCCATGTTGAAAAAACAATTGGCCATATGTATAAGGGTTTATTTCTGGACTCTCAATTCTGTTTCACTGATCAGTAAGCCTAACCTTGCAGCAGTACCACACTGTCTTGATTATTATAGCTTAGTGGTGAATCTTGAAATCAGGAAGTGTGAGTCTTCCAACTTGTGTTCTTTTTCAAGGCTGTTTTGACTATTCTGGGTCCCCTGCATTTCCTTATGAGTTTTAGAATCAGCTTGTCAATTTCTGCAAAAAGGAAGGGGGGAATTTGATAGGGATGGCACTGAATCTGCAGATCAGTAAGGGGGCTGTGGCCACCTGAACAGTATTAAATCCTCCATTCCATAAACATGATCTGTCTAGCCAGGCGTTTTGTTTTGTTTTGTTTTGTTTTTAGCACTGACTTTTTAATTGTGAAATATATATGGGACTACTCTGCAAATAAGGAAAATCAAAAGAAAATCTTGATCTGAGAAATCAATAACGTGCTCAGGCATCCCATTACTGAATTGACAACAGAGCCTAGACAAATAGACCCCAAAATAGGAGAAACATCCTCATTCTTCACAGAGAGTTCACGCAGCACTCCTGCCTCCAGACGGGCAAACAACTCACTCATCAGGTGAGGATGGTGCCAATTTCCACACTCTCTCAGAAGGGCAGAATATTAGCACTAGAAATCTAGAGCAAACCCAGCTTTATGCATCATTGGGAATAAATGCAGTGGAGGAGAAACAGAGAAGTGCTGTTCACCTATACGAATCCCTGTGAAAGACTAAAAATAAACCTGTCAAAAGACTAAACTGCACAACCAAGAAATACGACTATTGATTTAGGGAGGAAAAAAAACCCTGCACAAAGTAAGTGGTGGGATCATGTGACAACACTGCCGAATGTGTTCACGCCGAGCATATTAATCAGAATGCTCACAGGCCTTATGAACAGGAAAAAGGGCATTCTTCTTTTCAACAGAATCAGACCCTTTGCCAGACTTTAAGGAAGAAATTATGGTTTTATTCTTTAGACCAGACATTTCTTGAATCAATTAAAAAGTGGAGGCAAATCTGAAGCCGTACAATGTAAAATGTGTAAATAAGAGGAATATATTCTATTTGACATAAAATTGAATCTGCTTTAGAACTAATTATTTCAGCATCTTCAAGGTGACTTCTAAGTGATCCAACAAAAACAGCCTTTCTTCACCTGTTCATAGAGGTATTTTATACAATACTTCATCAGGTGAAGGGGTGACAAATGAAGTTTGCCTTTTCACATAACCAAGACTGCAACTCAATGAAATACAATCCAAGAGAAAAGAGCCTTTACTTCTGGGAAAAAGAAGAATCTAACACAGAGAGGCGACTGGCTGGGGGCTGGGGTATCCACGTTACCCTGACTCTCGGAGACTCTCCATCACACTCTGCACTTCCTAGAAAAGCCAAGGATGCCCAGGACTTGACTGAGTGAGCCTCACAATGTGGAGACTGTCCCTATGTCTGAAGCACATAGGTTAAGTAGGCATTTTATGGACCTTCAGAAGGCTCTCCTAAGGTTCTTTCAATAAGCACATATCCTCTATCCTGTGACATCCAGGCAAGTTCTCAGACCCCAGGAACCATCCATGACCCTAAAGTTTATGTGGCCATATGAAGTGTTAGGCATTGGGTCCTGCCAAGACAGAGAATGCCCAGATGAGCAGTAGACTTAATATGTGAAATTTTCAGGAACAGGGGAAAAAAGAGTGATGATGTTGCATATGTTATACATATAAAGATCTACTCATTACATCAGAAGTATCCCTGAGCTCCCTAAGACCCTAGAACATCATAAAAACTTACACACTTTAGGGGTGCCTGGGTGGTTCAGTCGGTTAAGCATCTGCCTTCAGCTCAGGTCATGATCCCGGGGTCCTGGGATCGAGCCCCATGTTGGGCTCTCTGCTCAGCGGGGAGTCTGCTTCTCCCTCTCCTTCTGCCCCTCCCCCTGCTCATGCGTGCGCTCACGCTCTAATAAGTAAATAAATAATCTAAAAAACAACAACAAACTTACACACTTTGTCTGTCTACCTCTTAGAAAGTCTGTATTCAGACAATTCTTATAATAAATGGATCACCAAGGAGTCACCCCCGGATGCTTGAAGTTTCTCTACCAAGGGAGAGCTGTAACGTCCAAGTATGTCCCACATACGTCCAAGTACCTTCTTGGGCTATGACAGGTGTGTCCACTCACATGGACACAACCAGGAGCTGGGGGCTTTGCTAAGCAAGCACTAAGCCATGGTCTAAGAACAGTGTTTTCAAATCTCATTACCACACATTCCCCATTATTTCTGGATATTTTTTAAAGAAGATTCTGTCTGATACAAGGTATTATTAAAGTCCTATAATCTGGCTAAAGAGAACAGGCTTGCAGTGGAACAGACCAGGGTTCAAACCCTGGCCCTGACACTACTGAGTGGGCTCCAGCAAGTACACTTTCCTCCTCTCTTGGACTTAAGTTGTAAATGTGGGCACGTGGTATTATATATTACCACCTGCCCTGCAAGCCCGTTGTCTGGATTACTGGTCACAGTTATCAAGTGCCTGGAAAGACCTAAGAAATAAGGCAAGTAGGCATGGCCAAACCACAGAGCAGAACCCTGATGCAGTGAGGGGACAGGAAGTGAAGTGTGGATGAAGGTGGGCAACTGGGGAAGTGGCAGAGCCAGGGGTCAGGAACAGGGGGTCAGTCTAGGTTGGGGTGTGACGGCTCCTAAATCAGAGTGGGGAAGAGGGTCAAGTGGGCGGTCAGTCTAGGTTGGGGTGTGACGGCTCCTAAATCAGAGTGGGGAAGAGGGTCAAGGGGGCAGAAGGACAACCTATCAGAGACAACAGCACAAAGAGCCATTGCTGTTCAACTAACAAGTGGTGGGAATTAGGTATTTTTTGGTTCACTATGGTTCTTCAGCATCTAGGAGCACAGTATCTGTTGAATGAACGAACAAACTAGAACCTGTTTATCAAGACAATGTGTGAAGTGCTTTATAGAGACTATCCTCTAGACCTCATAACAACTCTCTGAGGTGGCAGTATCATTCCTATTTTACAGATGAAGAGACCAAGGCATGGAGAGATCAGGTAACTTGCTCCACGCCATCCTAGTAGGAAGTGAAGACCTACGATTAATTCATGCTCTTCTGCTCTGATAGACAGTTACCCAGGCAAATTTTCCATCCTGGTCAGAAGCTGGCCCACCTGCCCCACCTGCTGGGACTCTACTAACTCTGAATCATCCTCCAAACCCTCATTCCCGACGTACTAACCCGCCTAGCACATATACCCATCTCCCACACAGGGGAGACACCCTTTCTGGGAGCTGACCTCCACTGGAGCGCTCATCACACTGTATCCCAATTTTCTGACCCTACTACCAGGCTGTGAGCCCTTTAAGAGGTGAAAACTGTATCTATCTTACTCTGTCTGTGCAGTGCCTGGTCTAGAGTAACTGCTAAGAAAATGGGGGTTGAGGGGCGCCTGGGTGGCGTAATCAGTTGAGCGTTTTGGCTCAGATCACGATCTCACTATCATGAGTTGGAGCCCCGCATCAGGCTCTGTGTTCAGTGGGGAGTCTGCTTCAGATTCTCTCTCCCTCTCCCTCTCCCTCCTGACATGCTCTCTCTCTCATAAATAAATAAAATCTTTAAAAAAACAGAGAGAAAGAGAAAAAGAAAATGGGAGTTGAATGTGTGACTCAATGAACAAGTCTTCCATGAAGGGCGAACTGAAGGCCAGTCAGGCCACTGGGAGCTTGGCAGAAGAGACAAGGAAGTGAACACCTGGCCAGAGGGTTGTGATTAAGGCCAGATTTAGGCATGATAAGATACACAAGCCTAGACCAGAAAAGCCAGAGTCGGAAGAGAATTATCGCTGTCACGGACCTCTGCTCCCTGGACAGCACATACTATTCAAACACATTCCTACCAGACAGGGACACTTGAAAAGTGGGGAGCACTGGGGCACCTGGGTGGCTCAGTCGGGTAAGTGTCTGCCTTCAGCTCAGGTCGTGATCACAGGGTCCTGGGATCAAGCCCTGCATCGGGCTCCCTGCTCAGCAGGGAGTCTGCTTCTCCCTCTGCCACTCCCCCCTGCTTGTGCTTGCCCTCCCTCAAATAAATAAGTAAAATCTTAAAAAAAGAGAGAGAGAAAAAGAAAAGGGAGGAGCATAAAGCTGACATGAAGAGAGACCACACTTGAGATGTCCAAAGTGGGAAAATCATTGTGGTTTCAGCGCTCAAGCCTACCAACACCAGCTCCCAGAGGCTGAGTCCTCCCGCTAGAGGCACGAGTCTGGGTTCTCAACAGCGAACGGCAGAGAACCCACATGCCAACAATGAGGTTTTGGCAGAGAATCTGCCAGCACTGCAACGGGATCTGTCCCACAGGACTCCACTGAGATGGGACGTACATGGGATGGGGAAGCAGGAGAAGGCGCATGCAAGAATGAGCAGTATTGGAGGGCTTTAACTTTCCCAGATGTTAAAACTATGGTGCATATATAGTAGTCACTGCACAGTTTAATTCTTCTGTAAGTCTGATAATAATAATAAAAGTGGAAAAATCAAATATCAGAATCTTTGTTACAGACAGCAGAAATATCAAAAATACAAAACGCCAGTGAGGTATGGGGGCACTGGGATCATAATGGCAGAGTCTCCCTCCCAAAATGTAGCTACAGGGTGACAAAGAGAAGCAGCCCAAAGCCGCCATATGCAAGAGCCACATTCTTCACTTAGACCAAATGACTGATGTTTGAGATTTACAGGAAGGAAATAGGACAGTGGCTCGCACCAATCATCAATGCAGTTTCCTTGGGGCACGTTACCTAATTTTTATGAACTGAAATTATGTAGTCGCTTAACCAACTAAGCCACCTAGGCACCCCATGAATTGAAATTAGGTAGTAAGAATTTTTGTAAATGTTAAATAAAAATTATCCACACCTTCAGCTAAGTCAGAGAGAGAATCCAAAAAAAAAGGGAATGAGAGTGCCCAACGTTCAATTCTTGCTGTAACTGGAAGAGATGGAACCCCAATCATAAAAAGTATTTAATAATATATAAAATTCCACTTATGCACATTTGCTTCCTACTGACAACTGTGTTCAGAGATCAACCACTCTATGGAATACCATCATCAAAAAGCAATGCAGAGCGTAATACAACATCCAGTATGACACAATCACGAGCAAGAAACTGGAGAGTTCCGTATTTGGGCAGAAAGACAAAGAGGAGCAGTAAAGAAGGTTCTTATGATCCCTCTGTGCAGTTGTGGGCAGCTGGGCTGGGTGTCAATAAAAGCACACAAACACAACAAACCATAAAGACTTCTGGTCTGTGCTGGTAGATTTGTTATATTTTTCTGCAAAGCTATAAATAACCAGCTGACAACAGCCAGTTTTCCCAAACCTCCTAATTCTGCACAGCCAAAGTAAACGGGGCCTTTGCACTGCGCCCAGAGGACCACTCAACTGCAGACTCTGCTCTCCTTTATTATAAGCCTGAGCTTAGCTTCGTGGGTTTGATACTCCTTTTCAGACAAGAGCGGCTCTCGACCACTCCCAGACCTGCGCTGGGGAGCTGGCTGCTTTGTCGGCATTGGGGCTCCTACACCTACCACCACCTCTTCTAGTTAAACCTAAGCCCCTGTTTTCTCCATACTCCAAGTTCTTTTTCTCCTTCTTTTCTGCTTATCATCCACGTTTGGGAATATCAAAGCGTCAGGATCTATATTCTCCAGACTGGGAGGAAGCCACTATCCCGTGGGTAATTTCAAGCACTCACATATGACCTCAATCTGCCAATCTCTCACTTAGCTGACCCACGTTTACCAAAAACCTAGTAAACGAGCAATATGGTCCTACAATTCATGGCTGGTGAGGGCCAGAAGGCAGGAGGGCAAACTCAAGCTGCTCAAGGTCTAGCTAGAGAAAAAGCATCTGTGCACTTGAAGACACAGCCAATAACCCATAAGGAGTATGTCCTGATTGAAGTAACTGGAACTCAGATCATTGGGGCTGGGGTGAGCAGAGGCAGGGCTGTGGGTGGTTGAGAAGGACATGAAGAATTCAGCTAGGCAGCAGGAGGGGAGGGAGGGCGTGAGTCGCTCTGCTTCCACAAAGGGACAACAGCAAATGTATAAACCATAAACTTGGAAATTTTCCTTTCAGTAATATTTGAGAATCCAAATTCTTTACCCTTTAATAAAACCCAGAGAAAGGGTTAAAATTAAAAATGCTACTGGCCATTAATGTATGCACGGAAGAAACTAATTTAAGTTCATGAAGAAAGCATGCAAAACTCTCCAATTTATTAAAATACTGAACTACTTACTCTCCTAGACTTCGGTCACAAAGGTAAATGCATTTGGGAGAGAAACAACAATATTCAGTTATAGTACAGGAACTCAAAACTGAGCATACCAAACTGCAGTGAACTTCATGCTCTATTAAGTAGTTTAACAGTTATTTATCTAAAATCTATTAATTATACATTTAAATACATTCCTTTATGTACAAGGAAGGGGGTTATGTTTAAGTTCACATTATAATATCCACCCTGTAGTAAACAGATCATAGAATTACCTTAAAAATGTACTTTTTAGTATTTTTTTAAAAGCCTCCAAAACAAATTGTCACTGTGGATGTGTCAGCATGCAGAAAAGAGATTACAGGAAAGACATGATGCCAGAGAAACTAAGGTCTCCTGCTCATCGAAATGCAGCTGGAGGAGACTCTAGTTCCCCATGTTTTACAGAGCACGATCTCAGGGCTGGAGGATGCAGGTGGCCACCTGGTATGGGGCCACAGAAACCACAAAGTTCCAAGTAGAAAATCAACGGCATAAATACCGAGTATCTACGTAACAGAGATTTTGAGAGCTACTCATCTACGACCAGAGAGCACTAAAAGGGTTTATATGCTACCATGAAGGCCAGGTCTCCAGTAAATGCCTCCCCCCTTGAAATAAACAGGTCTTAAAAAGATGGTTTCATAAGACCAAACTTAAGGAGCAAACCAAATGCTTGGTGCTGGCCTGATACAGCCCCAGGGTGAACTGTGAGCTCCTAGAGGACCTGAATGTAGCATTCTTCTGTCCCAAAGCCTCTGAGACACAGGTATACAAGTGCAATCTTTCAAAATTAAATCCCCTCACCTCTTTCTGTTCAACCTGCAATGCTGATTTCAAAATATCTCGAAGCTGTATCAGTTGCCTTCTTTCTTCATCCTGGGCCTGTTTGATCTTTAAAAAACAAAACAAAGAAGAGAGAAGCAGGGCTGAGGTACAGTGAGGTTCTGGGAGTTCGTAGGGCATCGCCTCAACAAATGCCTCCCCTACCAGATCCCCCCTCCCCCGCCAGCCACAACAGAGGACGGCCACGGGGACTCCATCCTCCACGGGGCCCCACCAGGCTGTCAGCTTCTGGCGCACGCAGCATGCAAACACGGGATCATACAGAAGCCATGCTTAAATCAAAGCATTTGTTTCATAAAAACTGTTTTGACACTCATGTGGGAGAGAAGCCACTAGCCGCTTACTGTGTGAAGGTCTGTTGAAAGTGTCTCAATGGAAGGCTTGAGGCTCTCAACTGCTTTCAGTCCATCCTGGAAAAAACTAAGAGGAAAAAGAAGAGACACAGATAGGGTTTCATAAAAGAGGAAAGAGTTCTATTACATGGAGAAAATACTTCTTTAAAGGAAAGTGAGTGAAATCATGACGCAATTCCTGGGGGAAAACACTGTGTGAACCAAATTTTAAAATATCAGGCAAACAAAGAATAAAATGACACTGAAAACCGCAAGAAGTGACAGAAAAGGAACTGCAATAAGCCTAAGTGTTTATAATTGCTCTTGACCCATATGATAGGAGCCCTAAATTTTCAGTGCATAATGGGAAGCAGGCCCCTACTGACAAAAGGCAGTGAAGGCTCTGGTTCAGGAATGGAAAAGTCTGAGCTCAGAAAAGCATGGGGTGCAAGTAAGAACAATACACTAAAAAATCTTCCCAGACAGTCAACAGCTAAGTGGAAAAGAGAAGGCAGAAAAAAACAAAGCGAGTTTGATGCAGGTGAATGGCCATGCCCCATCTGCAGAGTAAGGAAATGTGGTTGGAGAACTTGAGATCAAATATCAAAAGGAAACTTTTTTTTTTTCAAAGCCCAGAACTCAATGCTTGTGAAGTTGTTTATAGTAAGTGATGCAGGAAATATAAGAGAAGCTAGACAGATTTCCCTGCAGCAACAGCGGGTTGATGCTGAGCACTGCCCCGAAGCATGCTGTACAACCCTTTTGAGAGGAATGAAGAAAACGCTTCCCCGTAAGCTCAGGGCAGAGTTCAAAACGTAACAAGGGCTGTTATGCCTATGTGATTTGGCCTCTGCCTAGGTCTCCAAGCTTCAAGTAGCATCATTCACCCCCTTTCATTCACTAGATTCCAGAGCTAGCAGCCTTCTGTCAATGGCCATCAGACCTTTCCTGCCTCAGGACCTTTGCATATGCTATTTCTGTTTTCTAAAGAGTTCTCCCTGCAGATATCTTCTGTTTTGCCTGGATTATTCCCACCCACTCTTCAAATTTTAAGTTAACTACCACTTTGTTAGTGAGGCTTCCGTGACCCCTTACTTTAAAAGAAGTCTCCTTCTGGCAGGATATATTCAGAGCACTAAATGAGAAAAATATGCAGCCAAGAATACT